TTTTTTTTTTTACGTTTCACTGCAGTTCACTATTTCTGTCTTTTATTTTACTTTTTCAGCATTTAAATTTTCATTTATTTTTCTTTGGTCAAAGTTAACATTAGTCAACAAATTTTTAAAGAATAAAGAACATAACGGTCGAGAAAAAATGGACGGTTAATTCAAATAAATTAAGGTAAAGGGATTACATTTTTTTTAAGGACTAAAATTGGGCATCAAAATATAATAGGGATTAAGTCTGGATACCCCTAAACATGGAGGACTAAAAGTGGATTTTTCCCAATTATAGGGACTACATTTTTTTGTTTTAAAGACTAAAATTGGGCACTAAAACATAATATGGACTCAATCTGGATACCCCCTAAACATGGAGGACCAAAAGTGGACCTTCCCCTTTGTTAAATTACAATTGTGGTAGAATTTTTCGTTCGTTGATACATGAATAATTCACATTGTTGTCATGGCTATACACCATACAGGCGTTACGTAATTACTGTTACAGTTGATAAAATTGAATTTGATACGNTGGTTAATTATGTAATTCGAGTTGAATAAAATTGTGTAAAAAATTTCTACATTTCGAGTAGATATAAGTGGTATATTTATTTTATCAAATTAATTTTAAGTGAGAAATAAATAATTAAAGTTAGTCATTAATGGACACGTGAAATGTTTTGTGGAATTCAAAAGATTAATCGTCTCATCATACATTGGACTCTTAAATACTTAAATAGTCTCTTTATTGTAATAAAGAGAGTTGAAGACATTACAACAACAAAGTTAGATATATCATGTAACACCCCGCTTTTTTACTAGTATCAGAGTAAAATTTTACAACTTTATTTGGAAACCACTTATAAATATTTCGAAATTATTTTAACTTAACTCAGGATGCTACTGAAAAACCTACCTATTCTGAAAAGTCTGTTTTCCTCTAACTTGGTCCAACTACTGATTTAGACATAAAGAAAACAAATTATTGCCTCTAATCGAACAAACTTATAAAACTGAAAAATATTAACATGTAAGTTCGACAAACTAAAAAGGACAGCGGAAACAACATGTGGCAAAATAATATACAAACTGATATGTATATAAAATCCCAAAAACTGGGTTGCGTCCACGACCACCACCACTCCAGCTAATCTCACACCTCCTTGCCGACCCTGTCACCTGAAAAAGATAGAGCAGTGGGGCGTAATCACGAAAGTCCACTATGCTCTGCAGAAGCCCATACTAAAGTAAACAACAATAATAATAATAACAAATCATGATCGTCAGTATATATAAACTGAAACTGTACTGAAATCTTCCGGCAAACTGAGCCGGTAACCATGTGCACACTCTAGTGGAATATTAAGGCAAACTGGGCCACCACCAGAACCTAAGATAAGGTAAAACTGGCCTCCACCTTAAGCGGATAAACTGTATACATACCTCGGACATGATATCAAATATTATAGTCAATGTAATACCCAGTCTGGGCCTGGGCCCCCACCTGTACTGCTGTTCTGGAATGTAAGTGCTATGCTGGATAGCTATCTCCTCAAGCTACATAAAAATATAAGCAAACAAATACTAAGTGCTATGCTCAGAATACTCAATTATATGCTATGATGCTCGGTTCTAACTGTTAACTTATCCGGACTGAATGGAACACTCTAAGGGTTCGATATATTTATACTGAGTCCAGAATTAAACTGATATAATTAAACTGGACTGGTTTGGCTCAGAAAAAAATACCAAAAATTCGAAAAACAACTCGGAGCGAACACACGAACCAAGACGGACTGAAACCGCCAGCCGAACTGGCCAATTCCCTTGCTAACTAGACTGGACTGAGGTGAACCGGTCTGGCTTGGACCGCCGGTCTGCTGTGGACCGGGCGATTCGCTGCTGACCCGAGCTGATCGAGCTCGGTCCCGCGCAGGGCCTATTGGTGCCCTAGTGCGGCAGACACGAGGCTAAACGCTGCCAGATGGCACATGCACTGGCTCGACTGGGTGCGAGCAGACACGGTCGGACCCTAATCACGCTGTCACTGGTGCAACTGGTGCCACTCGGGCTCTGCTGGGCGACCCTTATGGCAAATGGATACTCGGGCGTGCTACTGGACACGAACCGAGACTGGCTGGGTACAGTTAACCCATCTCGGGTCAACCTTCACACGGGACGAGCGTCTAGGCTCGAGACCCCGCGTTCTAGGGCGCTACCAAGCGCTGTCAGAACTACGTGGGCGCTATGTGCGCCATCGCTAGGTACACGGACACGGGACACGCGCTGTCAGCGTGCACTGGACCGAGTGCGTCGAGCCTACAGGACACGAGCACTGCGGGACTTAGCCTCTATAGACCCCACACGGGCGCTGCGCGCGCTATATGCGCGACCAGCGACTACGACAGGACCTTTTCGGCCGTCCGACGACTTGCACCGAGACTATCAACTCAAACTAACATATTTCAATGCAATACGCTAAAAAATAAAAAGAAACCCTGACTGACCTCGGTTAGACTTTAAAATGGTCCGATAGGGCCGATATGGCTCGTACAAAACCAAAATCACCGAATAAACAAACTCTAGTGCAACTTACTCAGGGCCGACTTATTAACAATATAAATCATGCCTTATAAAGCTAAAATAATGGCTTTTACTCGGATGAAGCTTAACGTGACTCGGACGTACAAATAGGCTAAAAATCGACTTAAACTTGACCGAGTACAATAACTCTAAACAAACCAATCTTCAAAAATTCTATGGAGCCATCGGATGGTTTTCTTATGGAGCCATCCATCACTTAATATATTGACACATGTCCAAAGTCTATTTATTGCAGGACACGTGTCAATACACAATTTGTCAATAACTATGAATGGCTCCATAGCAAAACTGACCAATCTTTTACCAACATTAAAGACATGATTTATAAGCTATCAATCTCGACTAAAATATGATTGCTACTAAAAATTCGAATTTAAGCTTAATAACTTCAAAAATTCAAATCTTCTATTCTACTCATGCATGGCCTGATTTCTTAATGTGATAAATTTTAAAATATCACTAACTGGAAAAATTGACTAGAACTCGTTTACCTGAACTCAAAAATAGGACTAGAACCCCCTCTCTCGGGTCTCTCGGGTCTCTCACGTCGCTCTCGGGAATAGGCTTAGCCCCGGTTGTTATTAGCTATAATCGATGGACTTGATAAACTCTATACACTCCCAGATACTCACTTAATATGTCTTGGTGTAGGTGAATTTGACTAGAACTACCTGAAGCTCGGTGCACTTCTTTTTCCCCCGTGACTATGCGCGTGCGGCTTGCTTGAGCTATCTATTAGGCACTCTTAATCTTTTCTACAGAGTATGGAATGGTATATATTGACATATGCTGAACAGAATAAAGTCAATTCTCCTTCTAACCGGTGCTAAACCATTTATGAAGAGGTATTGGTTTTGTTTGATCAACTTCATAAGGACACTTGTCCTTATAAGAATTGATAGTGGCAATTTGATGTGCTTAGTCATAAGCATATGTGTGTAAACTATAAAGGATAAATACACTAACCATGCGAGAGGTTTGACCCTTAAGTATGGTTTTAAAATAAGCTGAATATTAATGTTGACCGAATTAACAAATTGGGCTCGCCAGAAATAATTTTGGCGCAATTGAATTGAACACGACATCACACTAGGCGCGGCTTGACTTTTTAACTTGGGCCGAAAAAAAAATATATGTCTTGGGCCTAATAATGTGATCAATTTTAGACTCAATCTAACGGATTGATCTTGACCTTTAAATAAAGAAGAAAAATCTTAAGAAAAATAATACAAACTCGACTAGGGTTGAACTATACTCGGCATTGATCGAGTTAAATTAACTCGATTCCGATCAAGACTCGACTTCGACGATTTCTCGAAATATTCTTGACTTCAATTAATTCGTCGATTTGAAATAATTAATCCCGACTATTAATATATATTTATAAAAATATACAGGTCGGAATTAATTACTGAAACTGACTCAGTTACTGAATAAAATTAAACCGAATCGACTCTCGACTTAAGGTCGAACTTAGAACTAAATAGATTAATAACTGGACTCGGAACTCAAAACGAGCATTATTAATAAAAAGAAATAGCTTAAATTCGGAAGCTAATATTTTTTCTTTATTAATAAAAGACAGTTCGTTACATATCAACTGTAATTGTTGATTTTGGCCACACGCGTGTGCTCGCTCGCTGACCGCCCGGTCTGGGCCTGACCTTGGCACTTGGACTTGGACTGTGGATTAGACTTGGGCGGTTTTGGACGGTCTGGATGGATGTTAGGTTTGGGCCTTAGGCGCATCTTCGTTTTTTTTTTTTTTTTTTTGAGAAAATTACCTGCTGCACAATTCATTATCGAAATAATAGCAAAAATACGAATAGTCAAACCTTTTATCAGTATTACGTGATTAACTTTAATTAAATAAGTCAAGTAGTTATTTTTTGCCCTGATTAACCGTTAATAGGATATCATTATATTTAATTAATGATATATTATAGGCAGTTTTAAAAACACACAACACACTCAATTAATCGTGCATAATTTTCGGGAAACGTGCAATATATCAACTTCTGCACTCCACCGTAAAAGAAGAAAGCAAATCATCAATCTTTCTCCATATCTTGGTTTCAATGTGCAGAATTCATCTCTCAATAAAAAGAAAGTCATCCCTCATCTCTCATCTCTCATATCTCGTCACAGAAAATTCATCTCCGCAAAAAAATAAAATATGGCAAAGCGACAAAAATTGAGGCAAACAATGAAGAAGAAGCAAGGGTTACTCGCTCCCAACCTCGTCACAAAATTCAATTTCAACATCCTGTGCGCAAGGTTGTACAAAAAAAGCTACAATTTCAGAAAATCGATGATCCGAGCCGTGCCAATAAGCCTAATTCGAAGACCGTTGAGGTTGAGTCGAACGACGAGATGATTTTGTGTCTGAACATATAATCAAACAACAAGAAAATAAGGTGCTCGACCACACCAAGAAGAAGAGGGTTCGAAAAAACAAGGGGAAAGCAAAAATCGGCCATTCTACAAAGAATAAAAAAGATTCCAATTCGGAATTCAAACTTGATGAGGAGGAAGAATCACATTCGAGTGAATAAAAGGCCGACAGTGAGATTGTTTGTTATATTGCAAACAAACTTTGAATATCCCGTAGTATAAAATTTTGCATGGTATGAACTTTGAGAACACGTCGTATAAAATTTGTATGATTATGTACATGTTTATCTAATGTTTATTTTTAGTATACATGTCTGTTGTTTTATAGCAAATTGACCAACTGTATATTCTAAAATTTGTATGATTATGCACATGTTTATCTATTGTTTATTTTAGTACCAACTATATACATGTTTATTTATTTTTGTTTTTTGGGAACTTCCATGTATGAATATTCGTGCTCGTATTTTGGATTTTTAAGTTGCACAAGGTTAATATATCAAAATGCAATGTTGGAATCATTGTGTGATCTGGATTTCTTATTTAAGTATTACGCATACATTGAATATATTATGTTTTAATATTGACGTGTTTAACTAATGTTTATTATGTGTAGTAAATACCCGTGTTGTAAATATTCGCTCTTACTATATGTTAGTTATACCAAAATATTTTGTAAAAATCTAGTCAAGTATATGTATATTAGTTACTTATTGTTTATTTGTACACATAACACATAAAAATTACACAAGCGCAGACAAAAAATAATCTTACATGTACAATTTATATACGTTAAATTACACCATTTTTTTTTTATTAAATACGATTGTACAATTATACTAAAAATAAACAACAAGTAAACAAATATAAAAGAAACGTTAAAATTTCGGTCAAATTATGAAAACATAAAATTAAAACATAACACAATTTATACTACAAGTAACCAAGTGGAACTAAGTTTGTTTCACTCTCTTCGGATTTAAACATGTCTTTACATTATGACTTTTCTCACCACATTTGATGAACCTATTTTTTACCCGAGACTCCTATCCTGTTTGAGTCTTTGTTGTCGCAGACGTCCTGGCCTCACCTTTCCAGTCGGTGGATTGACTTTTCCATTTAGATCAGAATCAACTGCGCTGCATGTTTGACTCATGTCAATATGGAAAATTGGTTCTGTATATGTAGCTAGCATCGTAGTCATCAAGTAATGAATTGAACAAAAGGGAACTGGATCCAAGCGAAGGGCTCTAATCACTCGGATTGCATTACAATCTCCATCCTTCCCTTGATACTTCATATAGATCATTTGAATACGCGTTTATTTTCAGTTTATCAAAAACAATATCTCGGAGCTGATTGTAGTTACATAATTTACTAATAAGGATACCTCTGGCTTGATAGTTCATGTATTCATTGTCGATCCACACTCCATTGTGATGTATAAACTGTAAACACATTGACATCAGTCATGTACCTGTAAAATAAATAGATTTACTAAATAAATAATCAGTATATATTACGTTTCGATATTCAAAACGATGAAATTTTTAAAAAAAAAAATTAAAGAACCGACATTAATCTTGTACTTGATAAAAAAAAAAAAAAATTAAAACATGAATATACATTTAGTGTTTACAAAAACAATGAATATAACTTCGAGTTATAAATAGATTATGCCCCGATGCAACACAGTGAAAGCACAAAGTAAACAAAAAAAACACTAATTTCATAATTGATCAAAAACAAAAAAACAAAAACAAAAACAAAAACATGAATATACCTTCAAATTTTTGGCTCAACGTATATTTCCCTATCAATTTCACAAAACAACACAATAGTTTTTTATTTTTTCCCAGCTGATTGGTGTTTTTTTTCTGGCTGCAAGAAATCGTTGCTATGTATATCCCATCTTGAATTTTGAATTCGTTGTTCCCTGAATATAAGTAAAAAAATCTACATTTTTTTTTTAAAAAAAGACATCCTTCAGTGATACAACAGTGAGACAGGCCTGGGAGCTACGGGGCACCGTGTAGTCAGTACCACTTGTTTCTGTCTCGGACGGCTCTGGTGAATGGAAGCAATTTAGAAAAACTTTTTTGAATTACCGTTTTTGATGCGTTGGTAGCGGGGGCATCATGCCATGATTAATATATGGAGGGAGAAAGAGAAACGTATCAGATTAGCTTAATCAAAATCTCGTACTTATACTATTAAAATCAAAATATAATCCTTTTTCTATTAATGTTTGCAACGATGTATATATATAAATATATATACAAGGGGCTACATGTATGTAAATTTCCCTTTTTTTTCTGCAAATTTATTTGCAAAATTGTGGCCAAATATAAAATACAAATTGAGTTGAGTTGGTTTGGACTCGGGTTTTGAGTCAACTCGTATGACCTATCCAGATACAATGTATCCGGACGAAGGTCATCACGTGGAGTAGTGGTGTGTTAACACCTAAAAATAGGAGACTTAAGGGTATGTTTACATAAAGAAATTTCAACATTTTAACTCAACCACATTTTTTTAGAGGAAATTACACAACGGAAGAGGTAAAATAAATTATATTGCACTCTTACGACCTAGTTAAAGTATTTAGCATATTTAACAAAATTCCATATCTTATTTGCCATAATATGATAAACAGGTGAAATATATTGACTTAATTATAGGGAGTGCAGATTTAGTGCGATTTAATATTGAGAGAAAATCAACTACTTTAATATCGAGAGAAAACCTCTTTCTCTTTATCCTCCACCGCCATGCCTCTGCCTCCCGCGAACAGGTCCAATCAACCTTGAGTTCAGAAAAGGCATCAAATCCGCCCCTTCCGATCTCGTCTTCTCCTCATGGGTGCCCCTCGCCGACGCCTCCGCCTGCCCTGACGACTTCTACTGTGTCATCTTCTACGCCGCCGCCTTCGCCATGGTCGTCGTCGCTCTAGACGACCTCGGTCCCTCCGGATTTTTGAAATTCAGCAACCTCATCCGCTCCCAAGGTCGAACGTGTGTATGGTCCGGATCCCTACTCGCCGATCCGTCATCTCCACTGACAGAGTTTGTCCAAGGCACCTTGAGGAGACGAAGGACGATCGGAGAATTTTGTTGTTAGGTTTTAGTTGAGAGGAAGACCAGACCAGATGGTATACATGCTGTATATATGTAGTATATTTATGCTTTTTTTTTGTTGTTTGTGTAGTTGCAGGTATATATACTGTATATTTTTCATATATATATATATATATATATATATACTGTTTATATTTTTGAATTGAAAATCATAAGGATTGGCATGATCCTAGGTATACATATTGTATATTTTTCATAATATATTGTTTATATTCTGTATATTTTCTGTATATATGTGTTCTCCACCATCTCGTTGCTTAGAAAATGGACGACACTGCTCGTGATTGACGCTGCTCATGATCGGACGACGTTGTTCGTGATGGACGATGCTGCTTGTGATTGTTTAGTTCAGATTTTTCTTTTCTTTCTTTTTTTTTTATTTAATGAAAGAATCACGTCAGTTACGGGATTCTTGGGATGGTAACTCTTTATTTTTTTGTTTAGCAGTTATATTGTAGGTATCCAAATAATTATGTTAACCTAGGCATACTTGCAAATAAGTTTTTATTTTTGTATTTATGCAGAAGTGCAAATTACCTTTTCTTTTAACTCAACCCTATTATCACGAATATTATCAATATAATTAAATAATATCAATTAATCATTTATACACCACATCGACCTTAATTCACTATTCACCGACTCAAATTATTTTAATACCTGGACGTTTTCTGCCAATTACAACAACCATCAGTGGGTTGTTACATGCTTTAATTGGCTGATGACCAAAGGTATCATGTACTAGGAAGTCCTATAAATAGGACATGGCAGAGTTGCAGAAGGAACAAACATAACATCATCCCTATACTAGCTATTTTCAAAAGCCTTACGCATCATACACATAGTGCTCAATTCTCAACTCGGTTCATGTTCGGCGAGTCTTAGTAGTTTGAAGTGCTACAACCTCTAAGACGTAGTTTTATCTTTGTGAACAAGATGCATGAATCCGTCAGCACATTACGGGGAGTGTTCGTCTTGCAGAAAGAGAAAATTTTTCCTTGGCTTAATTGTCTTTCTATTTTAAAGTTCTCTTGTAGTTTTTCTGTTCTTAGTTCATATTGTAAGAATTGAAACATATCAATTCAGTTCGTAGGTTTTCCGTTATAACTCGATACGATATTGTAACAATCTCAAGACAAAATATTCTATCTGTTGAATGAATGGCATCCAATTGAGATGGTTAGAATACTCAACAAACTCAACAACCTGAGCAACCGACCAACAATATTGTTTTTCATCATCATCTCGTACCTGTTGTCCATGTACCAACTACTGAAAAGCCTAAAAACTTAAACGGGCTTGATTTTCTAGAGATGTCAGCAAAAGATGCACTTTTACCAAACTACCTTGGGTTTGGTGAAGTACCTAAAGGACGAACCCCCCTGTTGCTGAAAATGAGACCAACGCTGAAATACGTGCTTCGTAAGCATGTGGAGCGTGAATTTTTTCCATAATTATGTTCGCACGTTTTATCAACGATTGCAAAATTTGCGTCAAGGGAAGCGCTCAGTTAACGATTACACTGAGGAATTTTATTATCTTTTCACGTGTGTTAATGTGCATGAAACCATGGACCAATTGGTATTATTGCGGCATAATGGCGGTTTGTGTCTACCTATTCAGAATATTTAAATCTTTTTGTCCCTAATTCTATTTCGGATGTGCACCAATGGGATCTTTGGGTGGAGCAACATATGGCTTGGTGATCGAAAGGCTCTTTGGTGCCACCCCTTGGTCCGCAACTGTCCCAGGTCCTTAAACTATTGGCCCTAGCCGTCCGCTGGGTCCGGCCCCTAGGGTTGGTCACAAGTTGTCGGCTATTTGCGGTGTTTTTCATATGGCGAGCCTAGACATCGATAGACTGGTTGCCCAAAGTCCGACATTCCGCGCACGCTGCTTGTGGATGAGCAAGGATCGTTCGACTATGAGGGTCCGTCTATTTTTTATGATGAGGACCATGTGGCTGAGGAGCACGTGACGAGAGATGTCGGTCTGACACTTCTTCTCTGTCGATCATGTTTGGAATTTGCACTCCTGGAGATGAGTTCGATTTCTTCTGCTTCGTCAAATCTTTAGGATACCAAATCTACAGAAACAATAATGTCAACTTCATGCAATCTACACCAGTTAATTCTGCCCATGATGCACCTTCTACATTTTTGGCTTATGGCGTCTCCACTTGGGGGAAAGCTCTTCAAATTTCAAAGTCATTTGTTGGGTCCCAGTCATATTTATTAGAGATTCGCAGCATAATTGAAGCGTTAGTCTTATTTTGTCATCCCCAAAGCAGTGGATGAAAATTCAACACTCTTGCAATAGTTGCCACACTGGACAACTTGTTTAATTGCACAAGCATTGGAATTTCTTACTCCGGCTTATAAAGGTCACCCACGAGTGATGGCTTATGTTCTCAGGGTATTGGAGACATTTTCACCTGAAAGAGTGACATTCTTCTTGCCTCAGTTGTTACAAGCACTAAGATACAACGAAGGGAGGTTGGTTGAGGGTTACTGACTTAGAGCATCACAAAAAAGTGATATTTTTTCCCACATATTGATATGGCATTTGCAGGGTGAGACTTGTGTTCCTGATTTGGAAAAAAGAACCCCATCTGCCACAAGTAGAACGTTTCAAGCACTACTGTCGGTTGCCAGAAAACGAATTATTGATGTGATATTTTCCAAAGAGAATTTGATTTCTTTGCAAAGTCACATCCATATCTAGTGTTCTATTTCCACTTCCAAAGGAGGAAAGATGGGCTGGCACCGATGGGAGTATAGTGCCAAGTGACAATGTTGACTCCCTGCATGTCTTAGACGAGGTTGCTAATGCTTCGTACAAGTGGCATGCAGATGCGCATCGTCACCATATCGAGTTTGAGGTAGGCGATTATGTGTGGGTCGTAATGACGATGGATAGATTTACTGCACATGTGTATTCCATGATATTGGCCCGTAAAATTAGTCCAATTGTGATTATGGAGAAAATAAATCCATATGCCTATCACCTTTGTTTTCCTTCGCACATTCGCACATCTGATGTCTTCATGCATCTGGTCCCTTTTCACGGTGACAATTCTGACAAAGACGATTGAGTCGAATTCGAGGGAGAACCTTTTTCAAGCGGGGGGATGGTGGATACAAGATTGCATTGGCTTTTTGGACAAGCATGATCATCTAGCATAATTGACTTAATTAATTATTTTCTTTATTTTATTATTTGTATATTAGATTTGGTATGCAATATTGATTATTTCTCCTATTCCTTTTCTTATAGACAAGTTATTTACTTGGGGCTTTTAGGATTTCTATTTAAAGGACTTCTCTCTTATTGTTCTAGTTGGTTGATTTTGAATAAATAAAAAATTATATATTCGAGTGTTTTATCTCAAATCACTCTTGTGTATACACTTTTGCTATGTCAATATGGCATGCTTATTTCGGTTTGTCAGTCTCTGACGTTGATATCAACGTATTTGAATAATCTCATCTTTTCTCTTATTTAATCCAATGTATTGCTCCTCCAGCTTATTATATAATTTAGGAAAAAGAGTATAACATGGGTTATTATTCAGTTGAAAGCATATATCCAATATGGTCTACCACTCTGCATTCATGAGCCATGTGGTTCGAATAAAAGATATTTTGCAATGAAACAAGAATCATGCAACAAAGACGTTGAACGTGCATTTGAAGTTCTTTAATCATGCTTTGGCACTGTAGCAGGACCAGTACGTTATTGAAAAAAGGACGTGCTACATGATATAATAATCACATGTATAATTTTGCATAACTTGATTGTTGAGGATAAACGTGACCTAAGTGCACGAATTGAAACAGAGATGGAAACGCCATCGCCAGAGGTCGAAATTGGAACATATGAAAGTACTTGATTTCAGAAATTCATATCTCTGTACAAAAAATTTAAAAATAAAGATGATCACATTGTACTTCGAAATGAACTAATTGGTAATTTTTGTAAGGAATTCACCCATTCCGAGATTTGAAAGACTAACAATGTTTTACTTGTCCAAATAATTATTTCATGTTTGTCTCAATGTATTTTTTTTATTTTTCAGCTTGTATATTGTAATTTTTAATTTTTAATGAATACTATTTCTCCGATTTTTTTATGTAGATGGATTATAACTGTATAATTAATTATATTACATAAATTTCAAATCGAATTTAATATAATATTGTGATTTAATTTGTAAAGTTGTAAAATATGTGGGTAGTATTGAAAAGTTGAAATTTTTGATGTAAAAGAGAATATTCTCATAATATTCTTTAGAGTTTGATAATGAGTTTTTCGGTTGAAGGTGAATTACTGTTTGATGTCGATGAATTACTGTTAGTGCAAAATGAATATGAGAATTGATTTTTGGGTTAGAGGTGGCCTAAAATATTTATTGATTTTACCTATGATGGTGTTTGCTTCCGAAAGTGTTCAAAATTTACAACAATTATGCGCCAAGTTGTCACCTTCTTAGTAACAGTCTTTTAGTGTTCAACATGACCATAGTTGTAATTGTTCTTGAGAATAGGGAAACTTACATACCTGCGGAAACCAATGATAAATAATAGCATATATACAACCTTGTAAAAATATTTGCACATGTACGATTTCCTGTCTATTTAATTAGGGTAATACTAGATAATTAAATTGTTGATTAAGAATGGTATATTTATTCTCTCACTTCCATTAGTTACAGTATGT